GATGCTATGCTTCTGATAAAAATGAATGAAAATGACACTGTAATGTGATGGTTGAATGTCTTATTAATGGGTACATCGAAGGTTGTTAATGTAACTATATGACTTGTTATTAACAAGTGATTGTCACATGTTGATATGAAGGATGGACAACTTCAAATGGGAAGCATTTGTTCTGTTACCTCCATATAAAGGGACAATTTATTAATGATATAGAAGGTGGAATACAATATGTTAGAGGTGGTGTGAGAACAAGAATGATAAAAGAAGACACATCATATAAAGAATTTAGAACAATGGTGGGAAAAGAAAATAATTGAATGGTTATAAAATTCATAGTAACTTTTGATGAGTGTATATTTGTGAACCTTATAGATAATGTATAAATTTAGTGTAGTTACATTGTACATATATATAAAGTGGTAAATGACATCTGGTTGTAATCTAATATAATATCATATCTCTATTTTGCTGTACTTGTAAATAGGTTGTCATGGTCTTGTTATCAGACGCCGTGGAGGTTGTCATTGGCAATCTGAATTAAGTTACTAATATAAAGTGACAATTTCTCTCACTTGCAGTGTTCAATGATTTCTTAACACATGATTTTAGTATTCAAGTTGTAATATGATATGACTTGGTTATAATTTAATTTTTATAGAAGTTGTGGTATCCCACAGAGTGAGTTGTTAGGGGTACTGCTGAGGTTGTTAACCACATCTCCTCAAGTTGTCAACAGTCGCCATTGAGGTTGTAAATGAACCTCTACAATAAAAATCTGCTGTAATCCTATTGGGTTCACTTAAAGCTATTAATGACTTAAAAATGCTTCCCCTTATATTGTTAAGGTCGTTATATGAGCTGATAATACAATTTTTTTAGAAGCTATAGTATCTTACAAAGTGAGTTGTTAGAGGCACTGCCGAAGCTATTAATCACTTCTCCTCAGGTTATCAAAAGCCGCTGTTGAGGTTGTAAATGGATCTAACAGAGAGGATTGTGATATATACCTATCATGTCATCATGGTTAACATTTGTTTATCCAGTTTTATTAAGTCTTTATTTCTGGACATGATCTGGGTTTGAAATGAAGAATTTTGTGGTTATCAAAACACATGAATGTCATTAAAAAAAAACTTAATAACCAATAAACAATGTCAATACACATTAACATAACTTCACATTCAGCTATCATTATATTGTCAAGTAAAAAAAAACTCTGAATTTTACATTCAGTTGTCATTATGCTGTCAAATAAAAAAAAACTAAATACAATATATGCTGGTCATTTATTTCTTCCTCTTGTTTTAGGGGTTTGCTTGTAGCAAAGACAGCATTTGATCACCATGCAAGTTGTTCTGATGAGTTACAAGCCACTACTAGCATCCAACCTTCACGTTATATGGATTTCTTGAGCAAAGTACTTAGGCATTGTGTAGCCATCATCACCATATTCCATGCCATCCCACGTTTGTAACCAACTCAAAACATAAAACCCACAACAGTCCTTGAAAAAAAATACTAGTACTTTAATCAATAAACATTATCTCCTAAAAACTCAAACACAATTAGTTTTTGTGCACAACAACAACAACTCATATGTTAGATTGCACATGTACTTTTACCCATGTGACTTCCTTATTAATTTTGTTCTTTTCGTCAAATAGTGCTAGCTTTACTCTATAAAGAACTTGGTAAAAACAATCTCTCTGTAAAAAAGAAACAAAAAAAAAAACAAGTTTGACAATAGTGAATAACAAGTAATCAGTAGGTATTAACAACCTTGACAATAGCAAATGACAGGTAATCAGCAGGCATTAGCAACCTTGATAGTAACGAATGACAAGTAATCAATAGGCATCAACTTTGACAGTAGCGAATAATAAGTAATCAGCAGGCATCAACCTTGACAGTAGTAAATGATAAATAGTCAGCAGGCATTAATAACCTTGACAGTAGTGAATGGCAAGTAAGCAGCAGCATTAACAACCTTGACAGTAGTGAATAGTAAGTAATTAGCAGGCATTGACAACCTTGACAGTAGTGAATGACAAGTAATCAGCAAGCATTGACAACCTTAACAGTAGTAAATGATAAGTAATTAGTAAGCATTAATTAAAAATTTATCAAAACCAATTCTTTTCAGCCTCTCCATCATATCATATTACAACTTGAACACTAAAATTATGTGTTAAGAAATCACTGAACACTGCAAGTAGGAGAAATTGTCACTTTATATCAGTAAATTAATTTAGATTGCCAATGACAACCTTCACTGCGTCTGATAACAAGTCCATGACAAACTATTTACAAGTACAGCAAAATAGAGATATGATATTATATCATATTATAACTAGATGTCATTTACCACTTTATATATATGTACAATGTAACTACACCAAATTTACACTTTATCTACAAGGTCTACAAATGCACGCTCATCAAAAGTTACTGTGAATTTTATAACCATTCAATTACTTTCTTTCCCCACCATTGTTCTAAATTCTTCATATGATGTGCCTTCCTTTATCATTTTTGTTTTCATACTACCTCCAACATATTGTATTTTACTTTCTACACCATTAATAAATTGTCCCCCTATATAGAAGTAACAGAACAAATACTTTCCACTTGAAGTTGTCATCTTTCATATCAACCTGTGACAATCACTTGTTAATAACAAGTCATACAGTTACATTAATAACCTTCGATGTACCCATTAACAAGACATTTAACCATCGCATTACAGTGTCATTTTCATTCATCTTTATCAGAAGCACAACATCAATCACGAAAAAATAGAGCATCAATCACCAAAAAAAAAGTAGTCTGAGAGAGCCTTTCTTGAAACGTTGCTATTCTCTTTATGCTATTGTTCCTTGCTTCACCCAAGAGACCATATCCACGCACAAGATAAAGCCATGAGGATTGGGTTTAGATTTGGCACTGATGACACTAAGAGTGATTGGGACAATATGAAGACGAAGATGGTTCCCGATAGGCAAAGAGAATGGCTGAGGGTTTGAGGCGGGGAAAATACAGACTCAGATTAATGGGGGTACATGGGTAATATCACATTTAAAATTTATTACCCGTAGGTCCCTGGGGACTTAGAAAGAATTTCTGGATTTTAAGAGATTTTTTCAGAATAAATTATCTTCTGTGAGACCTATGTGTAATTTTCTCCTCTTTTTTTCCCGCTAACATTAAAAAAGTCTATAATAATATCAAAGCTTACGCATAAATCCCATATGATGATGCCAACCTTCATAATATTTGGTGACTCACCCAACGGATTCCATAAGCCCCCGACATCAGCGCCACTTTCAGTGATCTCCCCAAGTCACTGACCGCCTCCGACTCTGAATTCCTTGTTCCCCTTTCATAAATTCAATTATTTATTACATTTTCTCTGTACTCTACGTGTGATTTACTATATTTTATTTATACGTAATTATCTTATTGGCCAAATTTCTTGTATGTGATCAATTTTTTTTACTTCTATCCACTTTGCTAATTTTTTATCTCTTTTTGAATATGCTTTATGCATCATTTTTTATCTTATTGTTATGTTTCTTGTTTATATTTGTTTTAAGAAAAAATTGTTCACAAAAACTAAATTTAAAAACTATTTATTCTTTAAAAAATTTTAAATATTTAACACAACAACAAAATTACGAGGTCTATCAAGCATCCAACATTTGATTAATAATTTTCCTTTATCTTTTGGTACGATTTTCTCTTTATTTTATCATTATGCTATGTGTATATTTACAGCAGACGCTTCAGCAAAATAAAAATAAAGAGTAAAATATTCTGACTGCTCATCTATTTTTTCTAAATTATGAAATTTTTCCTATATTTTGAAAGTGTATATCAATCTTTATTCATGTTATAGAAATATTTATTGTATATTTGAGATTTTATTTTCATCCATCCAATTGTGAGGTGACTATTAAGTTTGACTTTTAAATTTTTGTTTTAACCAAAATACTCCTTCTTATCATAAAAAAATATTAAAAACATTTATATTTGTCAAAAAAATAATTTTTGATACAATAAAAATAATGTCAACACATGTATTTTCAAATTTTTAATATGCATTAAAATTTATTAATTCTGATTATATTATAAAATTTTATAATTTTAATTTTTCACCTTATAATGAAACTTATTTATTTAAGTCTCTTTTAAATGGCTAAAAAATATATTAAATAAATATTTTTATCATATAATATAAATTGTCCAAGTTTAAGAGAGATTATAGAAATTATTAAATTTATAATTTAAAATTTTTTTAAAATTTTTTCGAAAACATTTATAAGGTATTTACTTTATTATATATTTATTTAAATAATTAATCAAATTTCTATTCAAGATTTTTATGTCTACATTTTTAATTAATCAAATTAATTAATTTTCCATCAATATGATAAAATTAATAAACAAATAAATATTTATAAAATAAAAAATAAAATTAAGAAAAAAATTTAAATTCTTTAAAACCTTTTAGTCAAAATTTAGGAATTTAGTATTATGAAGAAAAAATTGGTAAATAAAAAGTATTTTAATACAAATTCTAATTAAAAATATATATTTTTAGAATATTTTTAATGAAGCTAACCGTTTAGATTTAAGTGTATGATTTTAAAATAGAAAGAAAACTAGTATAATTAGGATAAAATATAAAAGGGTCAAAGTATTTTACTCAAAAATAAAATAGATTTTACGGGTGGTTTCGTCTCTCCGGCTGAAAATCTGTACCCCGGCCCACTGGGCCCACTAATTAATTCATTCCAGTGTGTTTTAGATTTTTTTTTTCCACGGAAAAAAATGTATATTCCGGTATGTTGGTTTTGAAAGTTTCAAAAATAATTCTTTTGGAATTGGAAAGAAAAAATTTGAAAAAGGACTATGTATGCCCTTGACCTCTTCTTGTGCTGTTGTGCATTCACACTGAGCCTCGCACTCAAACTTCTTCCCATTTCCATAAATTCCCTCCACAAAAGCTAAACCCCTCCGAATTCATCGTCCATCTCATTCACCCATCCATTTCCGCTCCTTGTTTTCTTCGCTGTAACTTCTTCTCTCTTCCTCGTTCTTGTTCTTGATCTTCTTCTTCTTCCTCGTCCTCTCCTCTTTTCATTTCATTCTGGTTCTGTTTCCATTTCATGTGACTAGCTGGCAATTTCTCTATCTTATTCCGGAAATGGGTTCCGAGGTTGAAAGCAATCCGAATCCTCCGGAGTTGGACAAATTAGCCGAGCAATCACGCTTACCTCTAACATCAACAGAAATAGATGAATCATCGGCGACCACGAATGACGACGTCCATCCTCGCCTGGACGTTGTTTCCGCCGATACTCACGCCAACAGATCAGCCAATACTCACTCTGAAACCACTATCACTGACGAAACAGAACGAATCGCCCAATCTCGTTCCGAGAATTCTCTAGCATCGACGACCGAAGACAGCGATGTTCGGCCAGATCGTGACGATGTTATCGCCGATGATAAAATTGATCTCACAAAAGAACGAGCGGAGGGTTTGAATTCTCCACCGTCAACGACTCAAAGAGATAACGTTCCTCCTGAGCGTGATCATGTTTCCGCTGATGGTGAAATTAATCTGCAAGACGAACAAACGGAGAATTTGAATTCGGCGACCAAAAACAACGACGTTTCTGGCACCAATCATAATACCAACGGCCATTTGCGATTTGTGCTGCCTCATTCCAATCTTCCGAAGCCACAAATGCCTCCAGGGATAGAAAATCTTCCTTCAGCAAAAAATGACGACACTACGAGTTTCTCCACCGTCGACATGCCGGCCATCGGAAAGTTCATTCGACAGCGTACGGTGGCGCTTGCGAGAGGGATTTCGTCTTTAATGGACGACAACGATGAGGGATCGAAGAAAAATAATAATCGGAGTGTCACGGAATTCAATCTTTCTGGTCTCAAGGTCGTGGTGAAGGAAAAAACTAGCGACGAGCTGGTAATGAAAGGAAGAATAAGCTTCTTCTCGAGGTCGAACTGTAGGGACAGCACGGCGGTGCGTAAGTTCTTTAGAGAGATGGGCCTGAAATATGTGGAGATCAACATCGATGTGTACCCGGAGAGAGAGAGTGAGCTGAGAGAGAGGACGGGTACTACAGCTGTGCCGGCGATATTCTTCAACGAGAAGCTGTTTGGGGGATTGGTTGCGTTGAATTCTCTGAGGAACAGTGGGATTTTCGAGCAGAAGTTGTGGAAGGAGGTGATGACCGTGAGATGCCCCGATCACGCGCCCGCACCGCCAGTGTACGGTTTCGATTATGCAAACTTGGATGATCAGATGGACGAATTGGTGGGATACGTGAAGGTTCTGAGGCAGAAATTACCCATTCAGGACCGCGTGATGGCGATGAAGATGAAAATCATTCATAACTGCTTTTCTGGGGCAGAGTTGGTGGAGGTGCTCATTCACCACTTGGACTGCGGCCGTAAGAAGGTGCGCTACGCATGCCTCATGCTTAGTACTTTTCTATTCCTCTGTTATTTTTGCCTGGGTCAATTCTGGTTCTGTGAATGAATTTTTGGTTAATTTAATTTACTTTAATTAATATACATAAACTTCCATCAAACTACTAAAATGAATATCTGACGTTTAAAATTATGCATAAATTATTTTCTTACTTATGATAAGCCTAATGTATGTGTTTGGAAACTTGAAGTAATATGAAGTAGATTTATTTATGTTAAAAATGGTTATTATTACAACTTTAATAAAATTGATAAAAAATAATGAATTTTTTCCCCCGAGGCCCAACATAAACAATAGGAATAATGACACGCACGAGGGTCTGGTGAATAACGACACCGGAGCGGGAAATGGGAGTTTCAAAACTTGAAGCAACATAATTTAGTTTCCACACATGTACAAGTAAAAAATTTACCTAACTTACTATCTTATTATCTCATCGTTGAACGATTTTTTTCACTTGTTTTGTACTTTTGAACTGCCTCGATTACAATGGGAATGATAGTTGGATCCTTTGTAAAGAAATTATTAATACTTTCATCACTATTAATGGACTATACTGTTGTTGCCATTATCGAAAAAGGTATTTATTTCAAAAGATCAAAGTATTTATAATTTTCTTATAAAGAACCCTCAAATGACATTATCCTGATTATATCTCTTTGTTGTTTCATTTTTGTAATTAAGGGGAAGAGAATGAGGCATGGATTTTCCCCTTTTTACTGTATGATGTATAGGGTCTGTTTGGTTTAATAGGAACAAAGAGAGTTTAATGGAGGAAAAAGAAAAGAAAGAGAGTGGAGGAGTTTTAATATTATCTTGTTTGGATTTATAAAAAAAAGAGGAGATGGGAGGAGTTTTAATGTTACCTTGTTTGGCTCATGAGGAAAAGGGAAGAAAAATATTTTAATATGGACAATTTTACCTTTATTTTATTTAATGATATTTTTTCAAATTTTATGGAACGTTTAATCAAATAGAATTATATATAACATTTAATATATAAAAAATATTCTATAATATTTTGTCAGCAAAAATTATATTTTATGCTTATATTTACAATATATAATAATTATTATTATTATATGTTTTAATTCTTATCTGGTTGTTATTTTATTGGCTTTTAATTGAACTCTTCAAAATATGACATGGACAATCCATTTGTTATTTTATTGAATTTGTGTGGGGATGGGAAAGGAGAGAGAGAGTAGTGTCTGCGTTCGAAGAGAAGAAGGGAAGGGCTTAGGATGATATACGGATATTAAAAATAAATATGGGCATAATAATCACAACATAACAAAATATTACTCTCTTCCTCAAAATCCTTCTAATTTTGAAGGAGAGAGTTAGGAGGAGAGGGAAAGGAAAATTTTATAAAAAATTTTTTCTCCTTCTAAAATTTTTATGTTGCCACAAAAAAAAAAAAAATCAAAATCCACCATCATCCCTCTCCTTCTCTCCAAATCCTTCATACCAAACGTAGACTTAGTGTTGAATATCCATCGGACTAGACGTTAGAAAAGGGTAGGAATGAAAAAGCAACAGAGAATTATATATACGTGCACACACAATTTTTATTTCTTTTTAATTAGATGATGCTGTAGAATAAGATAATTCAAATAAATGAGGTATAATATAAATATCAGTTATCACAAGTTAATGCTATTGATTGTTCTCATTATATCGTCTTTTTCTATCTCTAAGTGGTAGGTATGTCACGGAAACTTCCTGGTGTCCTGAAGCTTGTGTATTGTTGTTGTTTTCTATAACGTTCGCTCTAATTATCACCCCACATGGCGATGTCATGCAAATAGTCGTTTGTTTTGGTCTCCTATTCGAAAAAATAATTGTTAAGCATAGAGAGTCCTGGTTTCTTAAATATACTCTTTAGGGAAAATACGTAACTTTAAAAAATATAAAAATATTGAATATTAACTTGCAAAAAATATAAAATTATGAAGTATAAAAAAATTTTATATTTAATACATAAAAAATAAATAATATTAAAAATAAGAGAGAATAACTGTGCGTGTATTTATGATTTAAATGATGACATGTATTTCATGATTTCTTGCACTTTAAGTTTGCCACTCCATTAATATATTTTTCAGATTTTAAAAGGGGCTATCATGGAGCAACTACAAACATTTACATACTTATTTTCTTTCTTTAATGCCCATTGCACTAGCATCGGTTTCTGACTTTTCATTTTTATGCGCGTCTTCTGTCTTTCTCTTTCAATTTATGCACCAAAAAATGAAAATGAAATCCCAATGATGACCTTTGCCTAATGCCTGTTCTAAGCAAGTGGGGCCATACATCGTCAATTTCTTTTAGACAAACATTGTAACTAACAATTAAAAATTTGACTTTTTTTAATAAATTTTTATGGAACGTATAAAATATAGATACAAATTAGAACTCTTAGATTTTTTTTTTATATTGTCTGACTTTTGACTACACATTGCTGTAATTTTTATATTAATGCTGATTATTGAAAAAGAAATTGTAGTTGATATTTTTTTTATTTTATATACTTAAACATATATACGCACACAAACATATCAATATTAGGTTTAAACATAAAATCTCATTTAAGCATGATAGGTGATACTGTTATTAGAGGAGTTTGCTGTTAAAAATTATAATCAATACTTGAAAACTATTTTATCTCTTTAAAAATGAAAATTATGCATGGCTCTACGTTAACGCTAATATTGCTATTTGTTTATTTTTTTATTTTTATCTTTTATTTAAAAAAAGTTTTCAATACATCTCTAACCATTTGAATCCTTATTAATTATTAGTCATCTCATTTCTGAATTTGTATATCATTTTGTTTGTAAAATATGAGGTTGTTAAATATTTTTTATGTAAGAAAATAACTTTCTCAGTGTCTCTTCATTCACCCTGCTATGTTCCACTCTCCTAAATTTTCGACTTCCTCTTTCTTCCTGTGCCACCTTATTCTTTGTCCATCACTTCGAGTCCAGTAAATTCCAAGTGCTAACAAAAACTAAAAGCAAGCTGTTTTTTTCCCCAAGAAACCTTAATCACGATCCAACCATAGATATCCATCTCTTTCTAACTTCTAGAGCTGACCTTGCCAGCAGTAATGGTAATTTCTTAGTATTCTGTATCGGTTGAATGTGACACTTTGAAATAAAAATTTTTCCGGTATTTGTGTGTTCAACAGTGAAATCTGTAATGTTTCCACTAAGTGTTTGTCTTCGAAACTTATCATCAGGCGGTTGAGATCGGAAAGCAGTTATCCAAGAAGCATTTCATTCATCGTGTTTTCGGGTAAGAGAATAACTTTTAAAGTTAGTGACGTACTAGTAAAAAGATTAAATCTAAGGACTATTAAAATTTTCAAAGAAAATATAATTAGTATTTCTTCTTTAGCAAGTAACTAACATGGGCCTCCGGTATTTGCACGTGTACCAGGCCCAAGATGAGCCTAAGTGTTCTCAGCCTGTGAACACTTCTTCACTTTTTTTTATAAATAATTTATATTGATATTGATATTGATGTTTACTATAAACTTGTCTCTAATGCTACAGTATAACCATGCGCTATCACATTTCGATTGAAAAATATAATAACAAATGTATAAATAATACATACAAGTTTTTCCTATGTAGTTATATGACGCACTATTCTTTAGGAGGTTTTTTCATGTCCATGTCAACTTTCAAATGTAGGGAAAATGATTTTGAGGATGGAAACCACCTCTACCGTTTCCTTGAGCATGAACCATATGTCACCGGTTGCTTTAATTTCCGGACCATCACAAATGATAATGAACCAAAACCTGCAGTTGCAGTATGCCAAAGACTTACCAAGTTCATGTCTGCCATTCTCGAGTCTTATGCTACTGATGACAGGCGATACCTTGACTATTCAGCCATTGGCAAAAGCGAAGAATTTCGCAGGTAGGATATTAGTTGTATGGTTCAGAATGGAATTGAATGGTTTATTTTGGTGAATAATTTGTATCTGCGTGAAATGTGGTTTTGTAACATGTATAATCGCATAGTATGCTGCATCTAGTATCTTGGCTCTGAAGTCACGTACTCACTAATTGTTCCTAACAGACACGTTGACATTTGATACTACAAAATGAAATGTTCGTCTATATATGTAGATGTATTGCATGATGCTTAATATAATTGAGTGACATGAATCAGACCCGGATATGCCTTTCTTTTATCCATTTCCTCAGCGGCTTCCTGCTGATTTTCTGGATTTCATTTTCCCTCACAAGATTTTTGAGTTCAAATCCCGTGTTATTTATTTAAGAATGAACAATGAATAAATTAACCTCTTCTCTGTCTAATACCGGATTTCCAGAGCTTTTGAGCATTCATAAACAACCAGTTGTTGGTGTTCGCTTTAAGACAGCATTAAATTGGCAATCAAAATTTGATGCTAAACTCGTCACTTCGAATATTACAACCTTTCCGTAGGCTGTTCTTATTCTAGGCAGTACTTTCTGAATTTAATTTTGATTTCGAACTCTTTTCTCGAATTTATTAATCATAGATGCTCCTTTTCACACTTGAATTTATATTTTCCTCCAATTCTATGTTTTGTGCTTTTGCAATTTGAAGGTCTCTTCTAGTCCATTCCGAAAAGTGCCTGGATTTTGGGGAAAGTAGTGTGATATTCTTTTGGGTTGATGATGAGGGGATAATGGAGGGAAGAGAAAGGAAGGTGAATAATTTAATCATTTCCCTTCTTTGATAGTTATTCGCTCTTATATTCTCTCATTCCTACAACTAGGGGGGTTCTGGAGGGAAAAGCATCTACGAACAAGTAGAATTATCACTCAACCTCTGCTTCCCATCTTTCTCTCCCCTTGCAAAAAACAGGAAACCTTGACTGTTCTTTTCACTTTATTGAGACACTTCCGCTGCTTAAAGGAGATAGATGGCTTATTGAAGTCCCTGCAAGGAACCTGAGTTCTTCTGTGTTGCCTGTGTCAGTTTTATGGTGGCTGTATCGTTTACCTTTTATCAAGCAGAGACTCAGACACACTACCACGTTTTTTTCTGCATGACTCAAAAGATATGCTTGGCACATGGCATACAATTATACCTCGTAACATGTCTTAGTAGAACTTCTCATTTCATTTAAACAAGAAGGTGGCTTTGGTTATTGAGAAATTGAAATAATGCGTACTCGCATGGGAACTTCCAACGTCTAATTGGGGTCTATTCCTCTTTTTCCTAACTGCAGGTATGTAATTGCGGCCCAGGATCTTCAACGAATTAACGTCGGGGAACTGTCAGAAAACGAGAGGCTTGCTTTCTTCATGAACTTGTACAATGCCATGGTCATCCATGCTCTTACCAGAGTAGGGTCTCCGCAGACAGTATTGGACAGGAATTTCTTCTACTCTGATTTCCAGTATGTGGTTGGAGGGCTCCCTTATTGTCTCAACTCCATTAAAAATGGTATCCTCAGATGTAATCAGAGGGCACCGTATTCTTTGATGAAGACCTTTCGTTCAGGACACAAGCAATTAGAGGTAAACAGTGTTCAATTATAAATTCCTCATTGTCTTCACAGGGTTTTAAAATTCTAAATGTGATCCTCCAAAGTGTATGGATCTCAATTTCGTTTGGCAGTGAACTTTTCTCAATCGAGTTAGTTTTTCCCCCTTTTTCGGTTTATTTGTTAACCTGACCTGAATCTTGGGTACTGACTCGCTTTTACGTCATTTTGACAAACGGAAGGACTTAACAACATTGTGAGGCTTTCGGAGGTCAAGGATCTCATTGAGAATTTCTCAAGGATGCCTAATTTCTGGAATTTTTTCTTTATAAAAAAGAAAAAAAGCTACAATTTATGTTCGTATCTGCGGACTTTAACGACCCTGAAGTTTTAGTGTGTTTCTTGGTCCCTCGTTTGTACAATCTGATTGACTACGAAGAAAGGTTATTAACTCGTTCCAGCAAATTGCAGTTTGCCCTCGTCAAGGTGAATCCATTAATTCACTTTGGGATTTGTAACGGTACAAAGTCGAGCCCAAAGGTGAGGTTCTTTTCACCTCAAGGAGTTGTAGAAGAACTAAGACGCGCTGCAAAAGAATTCTTCCAAGAGGGTGGCGTAGAAGTGGATCTGGAGAAGAGGACTGTTTATCTCACTCGAATTATCAAGTTGTAAGCACTTGAAAGCCCCTTTTAACCATTCATTTTCAGTTACTCTGGAACTATAGTTTTCTGGGTAGAGACATAGAGAACGAAGATCTATAACGCTTTGTGTATAAAATAAATTTTTTAATACAGATTTTGAGAAAATTAAAGGTGGAGAATTCAAACTTTTTGGAAAAAGGTGCACTTTTTGCGTTACTCTGGAACTCTAGTTTTGCACATTAAAAAATGAGGGCGCAGCCCTTTTTTAAGAGCCTGGTACTAAATGTTTTCTGGCCAACAGTACTTCATGATTGAAAGTCGATACATGCCTCATTTAAACTTCACATAAATCATATGAATGTTTCTATTTTCAAAATGTATACAACTATCTTTTGGAGGGCTATATAATTTCATAAGAACTCGAGGTATTTTGTTTTTTGTTCTCTTGAGAGGGGATTGCTTGGATTTTGAAAATAGACCAAGATCTGCGTAATTTAGCAAAATTTAGGAAAGATCCATTATTTTAATTTGGTATGGAAAACAAATGAGAAATCTAAATACTTTCAACAAAATCTAGATTAAAAAAATCCATGCAGTTTAGTCTAATTGAAGCCTAATTCTTTAACTTGGTTTCGATTGCAACGAAAATCCTATTTGCCAGGTATGATATGGATTTTGGACAAGGCAAAGACATTCTGAAGTGGGTAATCCATTACTTGGATCCAACTAAAGCAGGCTTCTTGACACATCTCTTAGGTGATGGCGGCCCTGTTCACATCTCGTATCAAAACTATGATTGGTCAATAAATTCTTGACAACTATAGTGCACCCATTTGATTCAGCTATTCAGAGCTGCCTGAACTTATGGAGACTGGAGTGTTTATTGCCCCAGATTTTGAAATGTTGATCACAGTCCAAATGGAGATTTTTTTTTTTAGTTAGCCCAACAGAGAGACTTTAGAATTAATAAGATAGCAAAATAGGGAGTTTCTTTAGTGTGTTTCTCTATTCCTCCTTTCATATGTGAACATCTTTGGCACTTAATTATATACTACCTCCGGTCCTTAATATAAGACCCCGTTTGACTTTTTGTTTGGTCCTAATTATAAGACCCCAATCCATTTTATCTCTCATATTTATACATTTTTTTCCAAGATAACCCTTCTAATAATGATAGTTCTAGCCAACACACTTAATTAGCAAGAATATTTTAGGAATGATAACACTTATTTATTACAAATAACTAACTTAACTTACTTCCTTAATCTCCTCAAATAAGTCAACTGGGTCTTATAATTAGGACCGGAGGTAGTAGCATATAGCAACGGGGTTGGTGTGTGTACATGTTTAGGGTACACATATGCAATTTTATTTGGCAATGTTTTAAGTTTTTGTCTTCGACAGGATTTTCTCTAACAAGTCTAATATACAAATTAGTTAGACATGTGCAATTGGCGATTCACGCATCCAAAAACGTTAATAACTAGACTACAGAACTTGTTATCATATGTAGCCCATGTACAACCATGCAATTTACTATATATGCATCTAATATTCCATACAATCAATATACAAAAAAAAAAAAGGCTAAGCAATAGTATGCATCTAATATGAACAAGTTACAAAAAATAAACATGTAAAGCTTATCTTCTATTCTAATCTTGTTAATTGTAGAAAGTATTCTGACCAATTGTTATGTTTCTCTCTCATCAGAATATGGCTCCAAACTTTGAAAATATTGTAAATTAAAAAAACCTTTAGGTAAGCAACATTCTAAGAAAATTTCAATGTCTAAACCAAAAATAGGATATTTATAAAATATTATTACCTTGTCAAATGAGGTAGTGATGCCCTTAGTGATGATATCGTACAAATACATCATCACATAATATTTGTATTCAAAACTTTTTGATTGTTTATGGCACTTGAATGTACAAAAATAAGAATAATCAAATTAAAAAAAGTCAATAATATAATTAATTTAATCATTATTTAAAATTAAAATACTTACTTTCAAAAAGACCCAGTTGACATCACTTTGACTATTCTTTCTCACCAACTTACAATGCACGATCTATTGTCAAATACTTGTAAGAAAATAATATTCTAATAATATAAAATAAAATTACACATAATACGGTTGTTTCAAAAACTCTTCGTGTCTTCACTCACTCCCCATTGTAAAGAACAAAACCGATATAGAGTATGCTCACATGGGCAGATAACAGTGAGCCTCCAATAATTACTAAAATATGAGATTATATTAATATCATGTTATTAAGAAAGTTTTTACTTAACTAAGAAATGAATTAGAATTAAATACCTTTCAATAAATGGTACAAACCGACACTTTTTATTTCTTTCTTGAATTGCACCCCCAATATAGGACGTTATCTCACTTACACTACTGTTTCTACACAATTAGATAGGATATGGGTACAAGAATCTGTAATAATTAATGTTACCCAAATTCTCGCACATATTGTGGAGATACCTATGATAATTTTAAATAAGTTAGTCAAAAATAAAAAATTATAAATGTTCAATTAAAAAAAGACCATACGAAAAAATTGAATTATTGATATGTTTAACCAATCAAGAGAAATGATGTTAATGACATCCTGCTTGAAGACTCTTAATTGAAAAGAAAAGGGCGCTCCACAATCTCCTTCCTTATATTTAATCTGCAAGTCCTTATAGTTTCAACCAATTTTAAATCAGGTCCCTATAATTTTTTTTCTTTTTATCAGATCCTTATACTTTCACCTGTTTTTAATTAGGTCCTTGCATTTATTTTTCTTTTTATCAAGTCCTTATAAGATCACCTTATTTTTAAGTAAGTCCCTGAATTTTTTATTCTTTATTTTATAAAGTCTAATAGTACTATTTTATAAACATAAAATAGTATATATTATATAATATTAGTTTATAAACAATAATATTCTAAAAATAATGAATTATTATAATAATTTTATTTTTTTAGCAAAAAAAATTAATTGTTTTAAAAAAATTTCCTTAATTAATTAATTATATTACTTATCTTTTATTATATAATTATTAATATTTTATATTTCAGTACTAATTTATTTAATTAAGTTCATATTTAATTAATAAATAAAAATTAAAACTAGATGGACCTAATTAAAATTTTAGTGAAATTATAAGGACTTAATAAAAAGAAAAATAAATGTGAGGACCTAATTAAAAATAGATGAAAGTATAAGGACCTGATAAAAAGAAAAAAAACTATAAAGACCTAATTCAAAATTGGTTAAAACTATAAGGACTTCCAGATTAATTAACCCTATTTAATTCAATGAAATCATCCATGTCAACAACAACAAAAGCCAATCGCCTCCAGCCATTTTACTTGTTTTTGGCATTAGCTTCGGTTGCATGTAAAGAATTTGAACCCAAAAAATCTTTCGACTGTTGTAACTAATAAAAAAATTAAAAATGTATACCATTTTAACTAGCGAATGAAAGAAAATCATAACGTTATTCATACATCAACTGCAACTTTAGAGATTAGCCTTCCCAGACAAAAAAATAAAATTTTGTTTAGCTCCTACTATTTTTGCCTCGTCATTAGAAAATGGTATTAAGGCAGTAGTGTCTACAGCATTTTCAATTACTACCTTTACTTGAAACTATGTAAAGCCCAAAAACTTGTAAAGGGAACTTTTTTTTAATTAAAACCATTTAATAAAAAATTGTGGGCCATTTGGAGGCCCTCAGCTAACATTATGGCAACAAGTTCTCTAAGATACTGTTCAGTACGAGAGAAATAGAGAAGAGGGATGGGGAAGGAAAATTTTAATAAATTCTGTTTAAAAAATTAGAGAAGTGGGGTTTTGAAATTTTAATAAAGAGAAGAAGTAATAGAAAAAAGTAATAAAAATTAATTAAAAGCTTTTAACTCTATTTTTTAATTTTGTAAATTGAGCTTATCAAAATTTTTCCTTTCCTCCTCTCTTTTCATTTTCTTTCATACTAAACGGACCCTCAAGCCTGACCCCATAATAAAGCCAAAAATGTTAAAAAAAATTGTTAATGAGCCACTTAAAAAATCAGTTATAATGTAACTATAATACTATTGTCTTTTAATTTTTTTATTTAATTAAAATTTTCACATGTTATATTTAAAATAGATTTATTTTTGTAATTTAATTTTAAAAGGTTAGGATTTTTTAATTAAATATAGCATCTGTTGTATACAAAACTGATTCTATAATTTTTTATCATGGCATTAGTTTAAAGTACACTAGATCCAATAATATTATAAACTCAATCATCAGTTTCAAGTGTCTATAGAACTAAAACCAAAATATAAATTACGGAGTCAATTATACTTAGAATATAAACAAAAATATGTCATATATATTACTACTTCAGTTTATAAAAATCATTGTCAAAACCCATACTATTATACTATTATTGTCAAAACTTATACTAATATTATAATATGTTCTTATTTATAATTTTTTTATTTTGACAGTCTTTTTTTTATGATTTTTTCCAAAACATCCGGTTTTACTTGTATGTTTTATTTTCTAGAACAAGGTTGATGCTCCTTGTTGCCCAAAAATAAAAAAACAAAAACAAAAACAAAAAAACCCGACGCTCCTTAAAACCCTGAATCCATTTCCAAATTTCTTCCACTTCGGTTACGGACTCACGGCGTCGTCACTGTCTCCGGTCCCGTGTACATTTGCGTATTATGTGCGCGTATGTTCTCCAATCGATTTTGCGCGTTTCACTTCCATTTATATCTCGATTTCTTGCCGTTTCTTTTGTCTTTTACGGTAACATTAGATTTCTCGACCTTATTATTCATGTTCAATCAGGACCCATTCAATTCTTTCTTTTGAACTTTCATCTGCCGACTGTTATGGAGAGAAGCATGGGGTACATCTTGGTTTCTGTTACATCTGATACATTTTTGACAGTTTGAAATCCCTTCCCCCGCTTATCTTTGCAGTTGATTTCATCCTTGTGAGTTGAAACAAGATTATTGAAGCTTCTAGTTCTCTTTCTTTCGGGTTCCCCTTTAGCTTAAAATTGTCCTCTTATCTAATAGACAATGGGTTTAATTTGTTATGGCCATGTTATCTGCTCCAGTTTTTTTTTTTTCCCCCCTGCTCTGGTATGTCTTTGGTTAATTCGTCTGCTAGTTTCAGTGGACTGGTAGAAATTACGTTGTCATTAGTGTTCCCTTCCATAGTCATGTTTGTGCCGATAGTTGTCATTAGCATTTTTATTGCTTCACTCAAAATGGTTGAATTATAAATTAAAAACAAAATTGACTTCTTGTTTGTGAATTCCAGGATATTAAGTTTGCAATTGGAGTCCCGTGTATGTTCGTCCTCTTTCCTCAGTTTTGTTGAAGGAGGCTTCTGATCAGTTGTTAGGGTCACTAGAAAACATCCAGTTAATTCTTATGGCAAGTCGTGCCATTTCAAGATGGAAAATCCCTTACTTGTCTGCCATATTTGTTCGCAACATCATGAGAACTCCGACGCAAGAGTCTTTTTTGCCCAGTAGATCGATGATTCCACAAGTAGAATGCAGTTCAGATAAAACGATGTGGATTTTGAAGCAATATCACGATGGAAGGCCAAGAGGACCCCTTTGGAGAGGAAAGAAGCTTATAGGCAAAGAAGCACTTTCTGTAGTATTGGGTTTGAAGAGGTTTAAGAATGATGAGGAGAAGCTTCAAAAGTTCATAAAGTCTCACGTGTTGAGGCTTTTGAAGATGGACATGATTGCCGTTCTCAGTGAGTTGGAGCGCCAGGAAGAAGTTTCTTTGGCTGTCATGGTTTGTTTTCGTTCTGATTCTTATGTGGCTTCATCGTTTTCTTTCTAGTTAATAAACTTCATTATTTTTAGAATTTTAGTTAGTTCTTAACTGGTTCCCTCGTCTGGTCCCTCTTTGTCATTGGGTTATGATTTAGCTGACAGAAAGTAAATTTATCTTACAGGGGCGAATATCTCAATTGTTGACATGTTAAACGACTTCGGTCATACAAAACCGGAAGTGATTTAATCTTTAACTTGTTTGTTAAAATGCCCAAAGATGCATCCATGAAATCTTTACTTTCTTTGATGAACATCTTTAGATATAGTTTCTTGGTGTCATAAGAAAATCTTTAGCTTACACAACGATTTTTTTTAGATTTAGTTTCTTTGATGAACATCTTTATGTTTTATGTTGGTATTTAATGCTAGCTATTCTTATATCCCTGGGCTGACAGATCCCTTAATGAATGTTTAGATGTTTAAGGTGATACAAAAACAAGATTGGTACAAGCCTGATGTATTCGTGTACAAGGACTTGATTATTGCATTAGCGAGGTCACAGAAGATGGATGAAGTAATGCAATTGTGGGAAAGCATGAAAAAGGAGAACCAGTTCCCTGATTCTCAGACATATACTGAAGTTATTAGGGGTTTCTTGAAGTATGGATCTCCTGCAGATGCAATGAACGTATATGAACACATGAAGAATTCTCCAGATCCACCAGAGGAGTTGCCATTCAGAATTTTGTTGAAAGGACTCCTTCCGTATCCGCTTTTGAGAAATAAAGTGAAACAAGATTTTGAAGAGATCTTTCCTGATCAGAACATTTATGATCCACCTGAAGAGATATTTGGGGTGCGCTGAGGTGTGGACTTTTTTCCTTCCCTTCCCTGCCCCTCTTCTATAATGTGTTGAAACAGAAGATGATATTGATTTTGAGCTGAGAATATAGGTGCTCTGGCAGAATCTTCGCTTCACTTAGGTTAGTAATTCTGCCTTCTGCTACTTATCTGTTACCGTTGGGCCTTTCTGTTGGACACGGCAGTGTAACAAATTCACAGCCATGGCTTCTTCTGGCTTACATAGTCATATTTTAACAAAATCTTTTCATATACAGCAGAATTTGAATGAGAAATCTCTCTCCTTATTCATTGATGATGAGATCTGTATATAAATACTAGCAAGAGAGATGCTGAGCTAAATCTTGGCTTGAGACTCGGAAGCCAACATCTATTAATTTGAGGATGTCATTATCCCACTTGTTTTCATAGACATCTTAGTGTTTGAGTTTTGGTATGGATGCACAGATTGTTCGAGTATTAATTTTTTGTTGGCGACTCGTAAATATTTACTTTTTAATAGGAATAAAATTTACTATGAGTTGATGGATTAATCAGGCCGGTTTTTTAGACTTGATAGTTCGATTATCAAATTTAATGTTTAGCAACTTGTGTGATTCCCACCTACACTAATTTTGATGCTTCTTATTAATTTTACGAAAATTCACTGGCCCTTGTAATTTATCTCAATGTTAAATCAAGTCTGGAGTTTATTTTGTGTGAATATGGCCCTTCCACTCTAGTTGATTCAATATGAGAAAGAACATTACTCTTCTAATCCTAAATATAATACTCATTTTGTAGTATATTGCATTATAAAATGGGTTTTATATTTATGAGTATCATAATTTTAACTTGTTAAGATAGAATGGTAAGTTAATGTGAATGTGCACAACCTCCAATAACATGACATTGAACATGGAGGACTAAGAAGATGGATGCGTATGCAATTGTAACCCTGAGGACGCCATAAAAAGTAGCAGAATTCATCGCATCGTTGATTTTATGCCCACTAATACGGAGCTCACAAGGGCTTCTGCAGGGAAAACATGAAATGAAAGCAAACATTCTGAGCAAAATGTACCACCATACTCATTCAGAATGTATCTTAAACCAATAATTTACATAATTCTCTAGAGAGATGCCACTGTGTCTTACAATTAACAAGGTAAATCTGGTGATGCAAAATTTGGTGGCTGTTGAAAAATTAAATATACTGAAGTTGGAGTCCAAATTAGCGTATGGGATCATCTGGTGACTCTGTAAGCCTGCACACCAAACACCAATTCCCTTAAAAACGCAATGCAACAAGGAGGTCCCAAGAAGAGCAGAAATCGCTAGGCAGCATCGAAAACATTGTTTACAAGATATTTGAGTGGTTCCATCTCTCACCTTGACCTTTTCTAGAAGATCTCTAGCATTACTGTCCTTTTTGAAGTGTTCCCTGACAGGCTGCCCACACAAATGAAGACGTATTAGTTTGCACCATATACTAACAGCAGATAAAGTAAAAGTTATACGTTTGCAAACGTTCTCAAACTTGCCAAACTATTTTACAAGTCTCAGCCCCTTGTCTAAAAATCATAAAATTGAAGTTAAAACAAGAAGTATATCTTCTTGCCGAAGTTTTTTATAAGTCAAAGCCCCCCAAACTTTTGGTTAATACATACTATTTCTCCCAGATTAGCCGACTACACAGGGCTCTCTCTATATCTATGCATCTATCTCACCACAAGAATGTGGCATCCATATATGGTTGCAAAATATATAGCAAAATCTTTCATAACAACTCCGTTTGAAAACAAATAATACTCGTACAACCGAGTTGAAAATTTTGAAACTGTTTTCAAAAGCCGGAGGAGGAATATAGTGAGCACAAACTTGGGTAGAAAAATTACCTCCAGAATTCTATTCAACAACTTTGCTAAAGCTGGTTTAAGATCAGCTGGATGTAGCTCCCCGCTTTCGTAGTCAGCAATAAGGTCCTCAAATCTCTTAAATGTCCTATATTAAAAACAAGAATACAAATAATAAATCTTGAGAACCATCCAAGACCCAAGCAGTGAGAAAACAAACTCATGGGAACCAAAATAGTTCAAGTGGCAATTAACAAGAGGGAAAGTTTACATTAGGAGAACTAATAGGAGCCCACCCATCCACAAATGGAACCAGTAACCACTAACTACTTCAACAAAAGGCAGTAAAACTTAAAAAACTCACTTATTTCCACCATTCTCTGCACTGCGCTCCACTAAGAACTCACTAAATTGTGGCATAATAAGGTACTTTATGTACTCCAAGCACGGATTTCCTTCCACAATTTTTGGTGGACAATGAGCCTTCTCTATCTTCAGGTTCACTTCGGCCTATATTATCCAGGCAAAAAGTTAAAATGTCAGAATGAGTGCTGAATGAACAATTCAATTAAAAATGTTTAGTTTATTACACAATATAAAAGAATGGGACTACTCATCTTCACTTTTCTGTATGACAAATTTAACACCCTCCACCCACTTACCTCCTCATCATCCATGAATATGGATGATGATGGGTCACTTTTTGACATTTTCTCTTGCCCTTGCTGTAAACCGGGTAACATATCTGCAGATCAGCACCGAAACAATTATTAAGAGATATGTCCAACAAAAATACGAAACTGCTCAAGTAGGGAAAAAAAGGATGATACGATGTGACAAGATGATAGGCTTGTTCTTCCTCTTAATGTGATCACAGTGCTCTCTAGCGAGTACATTCACTTTGCGCTGATCCGTTCCCATTTGGCAGACGTCGGCCTATTTTAAGAGAAGAAATTAATGGAACATTCATTAACATATTTCAAGCAAAATGGAGAAGGCACTTTCAGAAAAGAAAATACGAGCAACATCAAAGATGAATACCGCGAGAAATGTAACAACATCCATGAATTTATTTACTAAAAACCAACAAAGGAAGAATGAAGTAATGCAGATCAATCATTGCATGATAATGCCAGAATGAAAACATAAAATCTCTAGCTCTGTAAGAAGAAGCCATTTACACAGTCATAACAAATAAGAAAAAAAAAAAAAAAGAATCAAATTAAGAACTATGATAGAAAAATCTCAAGACCAAAGTACACTCGGGAAGGTTTTACCCGACAAACTCTCCCTTAGGCATTAAGGATGCAAACTATAACTCAATAGGAACCCTTTTAATATCTAGAAATTTCCACTTTTCTCCGTCAAGAATCATTGGCAGTAAACTAGGCATTTAAGGATCTAACAGTGTAAATATGATCTTGAAACGCTATGATTACTTATAAAACTATAATAATTGGGAATCTTTACATGGAAACAGCTCTTTTGGGGGAAAAAAAATCAACACTTATCACTCAATGTTGTTTAATTTAATTCTAGAATGACTTCATACAAAGTCAGGAAATTAATATTAACGTATTGAATTAATATTATAATGGTGAGATGTTTACTAAAATATGAAGAGTGCACCTTGAGAAAAAATACGTCAGCACACTGCATGCATGGATAAATGATCTGGCCTACAGTTAATTCATCTTTTTCACTTCGTCCCATGATTTGACTACACCTGTTGTTGGGAAGACAGAAATCAAGAACAGCTTAGATGTGGGGCACCGAATAAGTCATTTACTTAAGCTCTGAATGCACCAAACCAACAATTACCTGATTAACCTTTTAACATTGTTCTTTTGAGCTATATTCCATACAAGAGGCCAGTATTCATGAGCTCTTGCATTAATCTCCTTTGATGCCCATATGAAATCTACCTTTCCTCCATCTATGTCCATCCCAACAGCTTTCCAAATTTCAATCAAGTAACGGCCCACTACTTCAATCTTCTTCAAATCTCCTCCCATTTTATTATTTAACTTTGCAAACCAATCAGCAATCCATATCTTAACTCGACACCCAGCAGATGTCAGCTTGTTCACATTTATAGTCTTCATGACTCCCTGCGCAAGTGACAAAACCAAAGATTTGATTCCACTAAAAAGCAAGAATGCCGTCAATGTCAAGCGGTGCTCTTGCCATGCCTTTCTCCATTCAATTTATCCAATAGCCCAAAAGTGTAAGAAACAATACACTTTACCATTTTCCAACTACATTTTCAGATGATGAATTAATCAAAGCAAAGAAAACAGCAGACTATTCAGTAAATTTGGGTACCTGGGCAACGTGCATCCGACCAGAGGGTTCAAACCCATCATAGCAAACAGGCTCATGTTTCCCTGCCAGCAAATTTAGGAGCTCATCTTCTTGAATACACTCTTCTCCAACGCTCCTCACGATTTGAAACCTCTGTTCCAAACTCAATCTGTGGAGAACACTTAAAAATTGAGTATAAATAACAACTCCATGGAAATTTAAACCTGCAAGTTAAGTGGTCCAGAAAATTTACTCATCAGTTGTATTTGGATTTGAAGAGCCAGATGATTCTGCATTGTCTGAATTGGGTATGGACAAAGATTCCATAGCTTCTCGTGGTGGTTCTTTTGGGGTAGCCTTGATGGTATCCATATCCTAAAGTTGTAAAAAATTTTGGTAAAGACGTGGGAAAAAAAATGTATAATGCATATTTGTGTAATATAAGTTTCTAGCCAAATGAATAGCCTGAAAGGTCTAGATAAGTATGCATGCTACAGGTCACGGCAGTTTCATGTTACTTGGAATTGGAATTCCATATTTTAGAGGTTCCATCACTCACCTTGACCCTTTTTAGAATATCTTTAGCATACTTGTCCTTTTTGAAGTGTTCCCTGACAGGCTGCACATTTAAACAAAGAGGGATTCACCTTGCACCATATCGTAAAAGGAGATAAAGTAAGAGGTGTGCGTATGCACACATTTTCAAACAGGAAATATGTTATTGGTAAACTATTTTGCAAGTCTGAGCCCCTTGTCTAAAAGTCATAAAATCAAAGTTAATACAGATTACATATCCTAGGTTTACAGAACAAATAGACTTTATTCTTCCCCTTTTTCTTTTTTTTTGTGTGGGGGGGGGGGGGGGAGGTTTTCTTTTTTTAAGAGTCCAAGATCTTTGGTGATGCTGCAGCTACTACCCCTACTCTCGCTCGCTCTTTAGTCTTTAATGCTATCTCCGGAAGTGTCTTCTTACAAAAGTTTTCTACACGTCAAAGCCCCCCCTCTAAAATTGATATATATTATCTCTCCAGGGTTAGCAGACCACATAGGTCTCTCTCTATATATATCTATCTATCTCAGCACAAGAACGTGGCATTGATATATGTTAGCAAAATATATGGCAAAGTCTTTTAGAATAAATCTGTTTAAGAACAAATAATACTTGTACAACCGAATTGAAAAATTTGGAACTCTTTTCAAAACTTGGAGGCGGAAAACATAATAAGCACAAACTTGGGTACAAAAATTACCTCCAAAAGTCTATTCAACGACTTTGCTAAAGCCGGTTTAAGATCAGCTGGATGTAGCCCCCCACTTTCGTAGTCAGCAATAAGCTCCTCAAAGCTCTTAAATGTCCTACATTAAAAACAATGATACAAATGATAGATCTTGAGAACCATTCAAGACCCAGGCAGTGAGAAAACAAACTCATGGAAACCAAAATAATTTAAGTGGTAATTAATAGGGGGGGGGGGGAGTTTACATGACGAGAACTAATAGGAGCCCACTCATCCACAAATGGAACCACAAACTGTTTCAACAAAAGGCAGCAAAACTTACTTATTTCCACCATTCTTTGCACTGCGCTCCACTAAGAACTCATTAAACGATGGTATGATAAGATTCTTAATGTACTCCAAGCACGGATTTCCTTCCACAATCTTTGGTGGACAATAAGCCTTCTTTATCTTCAAGTTCACTTCAGCCTAATATTATCCAAACAAGAAGTTCAAATGTCAGAATGGGAGTGCTGAATGAACAGTTGAATTAAAACAGATTATTTTATTACGGAATACATGGGACGATGCATCTTCACATTTTCTATACGACAAATTTAACACCCTCCCCACGCTTACCTCCTCATCATCCATGAATATGGAAGATGATGGATCGCTTTTTGACATTTTTTCTCGCCCTTTTTGTAAGCTAGGTAACATATCTGTAAATCAACACCGTAACAATTATTAAGAGATATATCCAACCAAAATACAAAATTTCTCAGGAAAGGAAAAAAGGATGATACAATGTGACAAGATGATAGGCTTATTCTTCTCCTTAACGTCATCACAATACTTTGTAGTGAGTTCGCTCACTTTACGCTGATCCGTTCCCATTTGGCAAATGTCGGCCTACTTTAAAAGAAGAAATTAATGGAATATTCACAAACATGTTTCAAGCAAAATGAAAAAATGTAGTTTCAGAAGAGAAACTGCAAGAAATGTACAAATGGAACCACAAACTATTTCAATAAAGGACAGCATGCCAAATAAACTATAAATTTAATATCTAGAAATTTCCATTTTTATGCTTCACCAATCATGGAAAAGTAAAAGTTGCTTATCAGACAATAATTGTACACTAGGCTTTTAAGGATCTAAAAGTGCAATTATGATCTTGAAACGCTATGATCGCTTCTAAAACTACAATAATTAGGAATGTATACATGGAAACAGCTCTTTTAAAAAATTTGACTTGGGACAGACAAAGTTAGACAATTAATATTAATATATTGACTTAATATTATAATGGAAGCAGGCACCTTAAGATGTTTACTGAAATATGAAAAATGCACCTTGAGGATAAACACGCCAGCACACTGCATGCATGGATAAAAGATTTGGGCTCCAGTTAATTCATCTTGTTCACTTCGTCCCATGATTTGACGATGGCTGTAGTTTGGAAGACGGAAATAAAGAATAACTTAGACGTCGGATACCAAATAAATCGTTATTACTAGAGCATCTGAATGAATAATGCACCCAACCAACAGTACCCGGTTTCATCATTTATTTTGTTCTTTGGAGCTATCTCCAATGCAAGAGGCCAGTAGTCACCAGCTCTTGCATTAATCTCCTTTGATGCCCACACAAACTCTACCTTTCCTCCGTCTATATCCATCCCAGCAGCTTTCCAGATTTCAATGAAATAACGGCCCACTTCCTCAATTTTCTTCAAATCTCCTCCCATTTTATTGTTTAGCTTTGCGAACCAATCATCAATCCATATCTTAACTCTGCACCCTGCAGATGTGAGCTTGTTCACATTTATGGTCTTCATGACTCCCTGCACAAGTCACAGAACAAAAGATTTAATTCTCCATTCAGTTTATCCAACAGCTTAAAAGTGTCCATTTCCCAACTACATTTTCAGATGACGGATTAATCAAAGTCAACTAAACTTCAGACTATTTGGTAAATTTGGGTACCTGAGCAATGTGCATGCGACCAGAGGGTTCCAACCCATCATAGCAGACAGGCTCAGGCTTTTTTGCCAGCAAATTTAGGAGCTCATCTTCTTGAATGCACTCTTCCCCAACACTCCTCACGATTTGAAACCTCTGGTCCAAACTCAATCTGTGGGAGAACACTTGAGTAAAATTATTTGCGGATAATACTTGAAGTTTGAGTGAAAATAACAACTCCATAGAAAATGAATGCCACAAGTTAAGTGGTCAAGGTAATTTACTGATTAGTCGGATTTGGATTTGAACTGCCAGATGATTCTGTGTTGTCTGAATTGGATATTAGCAAAGATTCCATAGCTTCTGCCTCCATCACTAGTGTTGAGATCAAGGGAAAATTATGTTAAACTGCCAAAGGAGATGATATTTATTTAAGAAGAATTTAAAAATTATAGTTATTTAGAAAGACGAAATGTCAAAACTTTACAAATACTAAATTGCCATAAAGCATCCAATTAAAACTTGCAACTCCTCTAACAATAAAGAATATTTCTCTATGTCTTACACTTGCGATCAAGGCGATTTGTTTATTTAACTGGTGGTGAGTGCTAACGGAGTAGTTTGCGTCTTCTATTCTCTTTCCAATTCAACTTAGCTAGGGAAATTTGTTAGCTTCCTTCTTTTATACTCTGGGAATGTCTTTTACGAATCACAAGTAAATTATCATCTTGAATCTTTCTTTCTTTTACGATCCTTAATATAAGATCTTGTTTGACTTTTATTTTGGTCCTAAATATAAAACCTAATCCACTTTTTCTCTCATATTTATGCATTTTTTTCAAAAAAATCCTTCTAACAATAATAGTTCTGGCCAACATACTTGATTAGTAAAGATATTTTAGGAAAGATAATACTTGTTCATTATAAATAACTAACTTAATTCTTCTCAAATTAGTCAACTAGCTCTTATAATTAGGACCAGAAATAATAGAATATTTGTGCATGAGTAAAATGTGGGTGTTGGGGGGTGTGTGCGTGTAAACTCATCTAAATATGAGTGCTGAGGAAAGTACTTATTACATTGATGTCATTACCAAAAGTAGATCCTCAAAAGGGTTAATTAATCCGTAAGTCCTTATAATTTTAATGAATTTTGAATCAGGCTCCTATAGTTTTTTTTTCTTTTTATCAGGTCCTTATACTTTTACCTTTTCTTAATTAGGTCCTTGTATTTATTTTTCTTTTAATTAAGTCCTTATAATTTCACTAAATTTTTAATCAGATCCATGTAGTTTTAATTTTTATTTATTAATTAAATATAAGCTTATTTAAATAGATTAATACTGAAATATAAAATATTAATAATTAAATTAAATTAATAATTATGTAATAAAAAAGTAATAGAATTAATTAATTCAGGAAAATTTTTTAGAACAATTAATTTTTTTGCTGAAAAAATTAAAATCATTATAATAATTCAATATCTTTAGAATATTATTGTTTATAAACTAATATTAAATAATATATACTATTTTATGTTTATATAATAGTACTATTAGAATTTATAAAATAAAGAATAAAAAATTCAGGGACTTAATTAAAAATAAGGTGAACTTATAAGGACTTGATAAAAAGAAAAATAAATACAAGGATCTAATTAAAAACAGGTAAAAGTATAAGGACCTGATAAAAAGAAAAAAAATATAAGAACCTGATTCAAAATTAGTTGAAACTATAAAGAGCTGTGGATTAATTATCCCTTCTCAAAATAATTATCAATATATTTTTCCCACATTGTGATTATTTATAAAAATTTATTACAATATGTTTATAGCATTTAAATTTATAATTCTTGAACAAAAATAATAATAATTTAGGCCAAAAGCATATTTATAATTAATCATAGGAATTGTATCAATATTAAATAAAATGATAAGAGAAATGGATAAAATTAAGTTGACAAAACGAAAGACACCAGCTACTTCCTCTGCCAAACCGTCCAATTCACCAAATATGCAAATACATGTGAACTCACGAATACTTATAATTTTTATTCTGAAATATCCCCATTAATTATAAATATAGTAAAAGGGCTTTCATGATTTCATCAAGAGGATAACCATAATGTACATTATTAGAAAGGATTTAAAAAAAAAAAAGTTAACATATATTTGTTACAAATAACAAATATAGCTAAATTTCTTAATATTCACAAATTATGTAGCTTTTATATTAAACATGTAATATATCAAAGCAAGTAAATTTAAGAGGGTAATTAAAATTAATAACAAACGTAATGAGCGTGTATTGTAAAATATTTATAACATAACAAAAGAATGACACATCTTGATTTAATTGAAAATAGGTACCTTGTGCATATAATACTAAGTACATTTATCCAGTTTATTATATTTAAATTTCAAAATTCCAAATCAGGAATTACTACAAAAATATGTTGTTATTTTCTTTACGAGTGTAGTAACTAATACTAATTTAGAATTTTGAAATTCAACAATTACTTTTTTGGGATTTTCCCTATTATATAATATGTCACATTCCTTAATTATATTTTCCATTTTCCTATTTATTAAAAATTAACAAATCATATGATTGTGCGAAAGTAATCTCTGTTTGGCCTAATGTCTTCTTAGAACCCTAAACCCTAAACAAATCACAACAAATCACCCCTGTTTGTTTAAACTTAAAACGTGAAACTTAATTTACACGGTTTTGTTTAATTTCATGAAACTAAAATCAAATCAATTGCATCTGCATTAAGACTATTCTATCTACTGCTACCTCAAAAACTGTAATAGCAATGCATCTCTTCCCGATACGCACACACACATGTATATGATTATAAACCTACATGCAGATATGTTCATGTGATCTCTCTATTTTTATTTGAAGTGACATATGAATGAATTTGACAGAAAATAAAAGAAGGGAAGATAAACGTACCAGGTCGGATTTGGGTCAAAGCTGCAGGTGCATCAAAGACAAGGGGAAAAAATAAGACAAGGGAGAAAAACAAAGGCAGTCGAGAAACCCTATAACTGCACTGGAGTGAATAACAAATGAGGCAGACGATATATTAGGAAGGTAAATCCTTTCTTGCCCCCAATTCATAATCATCATAAACGCTAGGGTGGCACAATGAACCGTAATAGTTGAGACCCTAACCCAAAGTCTGGTCTAATTTTTTATCAGGTTGGGTTTGGTGGTATGTGATCTGATCCAATATAATAAGTAATCCTAGATTGGGTTGGATTGAACTTGGTCTGCTAAACTAGTGGACTATCACCAATTTTCTATTTTTTTAATTTTTTTTTGCTTTTTGGGAAGCATGATTTTAACATAGTGGATTCGACTAAGACAATAAAAAAATACATATAATCATGTAAAACTCATTCTGAAATATTAAAACTTAATCATAAATATATAAGAATCTCTACTTAATCATAAATATATAAGAATCTCTAATAATATTGAAAATAATTAAAGGTACATCTAAATTACAAATTATCAAAAGTAAAAAACAAATTATCTGGACTAGATTAGACTAATCCAAGTGGTGTGATCACTTAGTTTGGAACTTAGTCCAGCCAACCAATCAGCCTGGGGTGATTTCGTTATATAGCTTATTTGGACTACACTAGACCAAACCGGACTACTTTGAATTGGATTGGAGTAGACCGGATCATTAGGTTTTTGCATACCGCTAATAAAGGCAATATGAATTAAATTTTTATGTTCAAACCAAAAATTAAAGAGGTTTGTTTTCAGGCTTACTTTTATGTTATATTTCAGAATAGAACTGAAGTGGGCATTGAATTCTAAAATATCGTGGGGATCACAGAGTTAAAAACCAGTGCTAAATCATTGTCACGATTTTTAAATATCAATTTAATGACTTCTTCTTCCAGGCTTTAACATGTTATCATCTCCTTCTATTATGTTGGTGCAATTTTTGAAGAACTCAATGCATGTAGTAATATTTATCGTATTAATTTTTAATTATTTTCATAAAAAAAAAGTATTACATATTTACGAAATATGTTGACTTTATACTATTAAGATTAATTCAGAAGGGCGATGGATAAGGAAATTTAAGAGCCAGTGAGAGGGGTCTGTGGTGAGCGTTCAAAGGGGAGTCAGCCGTGTCTTAGAGTCAAAATTAGGATTGTGTATGTTTCCCTCAAAAGCAATAATAAGGAAATTAAAGGGCGCAATAATAGAATAGAGATATGAGGAGCGCTTGATGAGAATATTTATATTTGGGATCCATCGGAAGCAAACATTGTACAGAAAGATTCAGTTGTTGGTATCACTGTCACTAAATAAGGGAACTTACTGGCTTTGGATATGGAGAAGCGATATAGCCCCCAAAAAAAGCTCTCCAAGGCTGGGATGCGCAGGGAAAGAAGCCTTTTTAGATTAATATATAGAGGTGAGTGAGGATATTTTAAGAAGGTAATATCCATTAGCTGATTTATTATAATCTTTCCATTATCTCAATCAATGACATACAACATATGATTTGAATTTCATCCCACATTTAAATCTCTATCATATATTCACAATATTGAATAATTGAATCAAACGTTGATTTAATTAAAAAAATATAATTATAATTTGAATATACTGAATAAAACTTTATATACCTGATATTTAGATTATTCTGGTAATATAAATTAAATAACAAACTTCAATTTAAACATAGCAAATGAATTTCACTTTTTCAAATATTTCATAACTTCTTATTTGCTCATAAATCACTTTTAAAAAATAAAAAGTGCAAGAAACCTACAAATTTTAATTTCACTATTATACTTAAACTCTTTTTTAAAGTAAAAATTCTGAGTATTTCACGGTAATTCAGATCAAGTCCAATTTACATGGAATCTTAAATATAAGATCTGTGTTAGACAGCAAGATTTCTTAGCCAAATAATATTCAGATTGATCATATCGAGAATACCAAAAAAATTCGCAATACTTCTTTCACAAAGAGACAAACCTGTAATTCAGGCACAAAATCAAGTTTTCAAAAATATTTTTAAATTAACCATAATCAATTATCTAAGTTCCAAAGTAAGAATTTACTCTAAAAATTAAAATCCCTCTTCTCAACATATCTAAAAGTAAAAAATTTTTAACATTATTCAACAAGTTAAACAGATTAAAATTAAGTACTTAATAATTTCTACAACGAGATGGTTTTGATTTGTTGAAACTCAATATCTGGTTAAAGTCAAAATCTTTAAACTTGCTCTGCTTCCCCCACGATGTTTATACAATTAGATGGAGAGACTTTTAGGAAGAGGGTTTTGTAAGTGGGAATGGTTATGAGCATCAA